GTACAACTCCACTGTGACGCTGCACGGACAGGAGCAGATTCAACGTTTTAAAGGACTACTAACTTCATTTCAGTTTTGGATTTTAATATTTGTAATTCTTTAAATCTAATTTTTGAATATTTTTAATAAACAGAGAACATTTTATAAGTAAATACTGCTCAATTTTCAACAGCTATTTGTACACATTACCAACATACTTAAGATTTTGGCTGTGAATTACTCTTATTTTCAGATCTGTGTTATAATGTTGTTTCCTTATCAAAAAAGAAAATGCTCTATTCCACCTTGTGATGTCATGTGGTAATACAATAAATGCTCCACTGTGTTTTTAAACTCACCTTAATTTGGATGGTTTCAGATCTGGAATTTGCTAATCTCTACTAAAGAAAAGGTAAACAGTAGCTGTTATCTTGAAAACTACCACTTTGTGACATCACAAGGTGGAACAGAGCATTTTGAGCTTTGGAGATGTAGACGGACTAATAATAAAGAGTTACTCAAACATGTGTGAATGAAACTAAACACAACCAAAGTGTGTTTTTGATGAGGTAACAGTATTATAACATGGATTAAAGCTCACAAGAGTCAATGCTGGGACCTTTAAACTTCCATCTGATTCATAAAGTTCAATCATGACCTGTTGATTTTTCTGTTTTAAAGTTTCTATGAAAATGCTTCTTGTTGGATTTACAGTGGAATTACAACTATTAACCATATTACTAATGTTTAAAATAGAGTAAAATGTCTATCACTGCTATTGTTGTTGTCTAAAAAGAACATGGACCGGTCTAATCTCACCAAACGCATCATAAAAAATAACTGCACCATTGAATAAGAGATATATTATAATATTAAATACAGGCAGTGAGGGATGTATTGTTAAAAGAATGAATTTTGTGACGTCTTTACCTAAACCAGACATGTCAAACTCGGGCCCGGGGGCCAAATTTGGCCCTCGATATAATTGTATTTGGCTGCCTGCTGGCTACAGATAAACTATAGAGACGTTATTTATTTAAAATGTTGTTATTATTTTATATTTAGCTTGTTCTGGATTCAATGTTTAAGCAAAACTATTATTGAACATTTATTTTAGTAAGAAAAAGTTTAACTTTACAAATCTCGAAAGAAGAGAAAACATGCAGATGTTGTTGAAATTTTTCAATAAATATTTAGTTTGGCCCACGACTTCGTCCCAGTTTTTAATTCTGGCCTCTGTGAATTTGAGTTTGACACCCCTGATCTAAACCTTTACCTGTTAAACATAAAGCAAAAGTCTTATGGGCTTTTCTTGTTTGTCTCCCAGTCAAACACTGCCCCCTGCTGGTTCCTCTGAGAGCTCCTTCATGAATTCCTGCATAGAAGAAGACGAACAGGAGCACGAGACCAGCAGCCAGCCCTCAATGAGTGAGTCATGATACATGCACGATCACACTAAAGCTGCACTGTGGAACCTTCTTGTTGCTATGGATATGTCATTGCTCTTTGTATCTTCATGGAGACCAAACCAGACCAAGTTACTGTCAGAATGCTTGTTTTTCTTGGTATTTTTGAGCTATAAAACCACCTGTAATTGAATAAATATAAGGTAGAGCTGTTTAATGTCATACTGCGGAACATTCCAGGCAGAGCAATGACATCTCCATAGAAACAAGGGGCCTATAGAACTAGAACTGTATGGGAGATTCACAGTTTTTGAAAGAAATCTCCAAACTTATCATCCACAAATATTGAACCTTACCATTTTTTGTTTGGGATTTCCTCCACAAACTTAAATATTATGTTTTAATCTAGTGTCTTAAAGTCCTTTCAGCTGGCACCAATCACATCTTATTTTCTGTAGCCCGTCAAAAAATATTAAAATTTTTGTTTATGTATGCTGACAATGGAGATAGACACATTTTATGACATACTGCGGGATATTATAATAGTATGAGGAGCAACATTTCCATGGAAACAAGCAAAAGGAGGCCCTCATCTAGGCCAATTAAGAGTTAGGTTTGTGGAAAAGCAAGCCTACTCAAAGTAAAGGCTCATTTATTTTCCATTTTTGTACATAAACACATCTGAGCGTAACTGTGACTGCATTTACTTCACTTCCTAATGTTTTTAATGTCTCAGGCTGCATTCTCTTAAACAACCACCAGAGTGCGCTAAAAGTCAATTTAAGAACTGACCAAAGCTCACATGTTACATATTATAATAACAAAGAGTAAGAATATAAATGGCAATATACATTCAAAATAAGTAGTAAAAATAACAAGAGACTGGTGTCAAATAAGGCATAATTATATAAATGTAAATTGTAAAATATAAATATATAAGATAATAGAAATTGAAATAATAGAAATAAACTAATTTAGTCCACAAATTAACAAACATGGAGGCCCCACAGCAATTTTTAGATCAGTTCTTATGGAAAATGGCCAAGAAACTGAGATGAGGGAGGCATTTATTTGTTCTGCAGCTGGTTCTAGTCTTTTTTTTTTTTTTTAAGTTTAGCTTTCACTGTTGCTGTGTTCAGTACTGCCCCCAGTGGTCAGGTCACGTACAGCTCTACTGATAAAATTCATGCAGACGCCTCTATGCTTATCCATATGTGTCTAAAACATAGAGCAAAAATAAGGCTTGGCTTATGAATGCAGGTATTTAGTGCAATAAAATCAACCAAAATGAAAAAAAAGCTTTTATTTGAGTTTATTTTTGGTAGAAAATTGAGTAGTATGGCTTTATACTTTTAACGTTATTAATGTTTGAGGGAAACTGTTGTGCAACAGTGTCAGACATACAATAGACATACAATTCATTAATACACTAAACCACAGCTTAAGCTTAGCTCCACAATGCAGACAAACATGATCTTAAAATAGGCACCAAAAAAAAGAACAGGAGTGGTCAGAGTTCTCCGTTATTTGTTGGGCTTTGCAAATCACCCTTCTGTTGCTTCTGAAACAAGCAGGTGACGGAGCCCAAAACCAAAAAGTTCCATAGTTGTGTATCATTATTCACATTTGTTCCTCTCCTCTTCCTGTCTCAGCCACAGAAAGCTCAGGCTCATCTTCTCGGTGTCTCTCGGGCTCCACCGGCTCGGACAGCGGCTGTGTGTCATCTCACCTGCAGGAGGCGCTACAGGAGGAGCAGAATCCGAGCCAGGCCTCCTCTTCCTCCTCCTCGTCCTCCTCCAACCCCCCTCCCGCCAACAAACAGCACCACAGCAGCCCCTACATTTCAACGGTGAGTCCAACTTAACGTGTTTACAGTCGAGTTCTCATATTCACGCTTACGTCACAAACCAGGAAGACGTTTGGAAACATGAGATGACAACTTCCGGTGGGCTCTGTTCTTGGAAAAATGAGAAAATGGCCCAGTTTTCTTCATGTACATGTCATTGTAGCGTTCTGTTATGTTCAGCTTGTCAACAATACATCCTGAATTTGGACTTCCAGTCATCGCTCAATGCATACTGGGAATGATCCTCCGAAAAAGTGAGCATCAAACCGCCATGTTTGATTTCATCTTTTGTCAAAGCTGATCTTTTAAAGTCTTTTGAACCATATCGCTTTTGTTTCTGGTTCTGATATTGTCATATTTTAGTTTTAGGATTTGGACATCGTAATGGTGTGGTTGTTGGATGTCCTAACGGTGGAAAACATCTCGAGAAATGGGCTTCAGAAGTTTGCGAACTCCATAAATGCAAAAGGGAATCAGATGTGTGTGACTGCAAACCTCCGTTCAAACTGTTTCCCTTCCCAACGGAATTGAAAAATAGTGAAAGGTGAAGGCGATGGGCAGTACTGGTCCACGGGAAGGACCAAAAAGGAAACCTTTGACTGCCTAAGAAATCATCCTGAGTTTGCAGCGAACATTTAGTATGTGGAGCACCAACAAAGCAAAATCCCGTTTGTTAAGCGAGAGGTGCAGAAGACAAACAGGCTGAGCTCACACTTTCTCGTTCGACTTTACAGCAACATCACGCCTCGGTCGCTTGGCAGTGGAAGGTGTTTCTTGGCGAACAGCTGCTTTTCGCTTTGTTGACTTTGACTTTTTAAATACGTAACCAAGGCTGAGTGAGGGATCAGGATTTTGCTTTGTTGGCGCTCCACATACAAAATGTTCACTGCAAACTCGGGATGATTTAGGCAGTCAAAGGTTTCCTTTTTCGTCTTTCCTGTGGATCAATACTGCCCATCACCTTCGCTTTTCACTATTTTTCAATTCTCTACAGTTGGAACGGAGGTTTGCAGTCACACAATATGATTCTCTTTTGCAGTTATGGAGTTTGCAAACTTCTGAAGCCTGTTTTCCACAACAACCACAAAATTACGATGTCTGAATCCCATAACTAAAATATCAGAACCAGAAACAAAAGTGATATGGTTCAAAAGACTAGAAGAGATTGGCTTTGACAATAAACTAAGTTAGATTCACCAAGCGTTGGATTGTTCACTTTTTCGGACGATCCTTCCCAGTGTGCATTGCCCGATGACCGGACGTCAAAATTTGGGGTGTATGTATGTGCACCTTTTAAAGTATAAAAATGTGATAATACTGAAAATAAACTAAATACTATTTGTTTTTTCTTGGCAGAATGCAGGTCCAGTCATCGGTCCAGCAACGATAGTGTGATCAGGACACAAGAGGTGAGACTTTTAACTTCACTTATTTTATATTTATATTTATTTATTTATACTTATTGTCTTGAAACATTTAAATAAAGGTTAATTTATGGTCCACTTTCGTATGTACACAGACAATCACTGCTTTTGTACTTCTAAACGTTTCTAATGTCAAGGCTGCAATCTCTTAAACAGACACTAGAGGGCGCCAAAAGTCAGTCTGAGAGTTGATCAAAACACAAAATAACTTTAGTTTTGAAAGAACTTTACAAAGACGAGTGGATCTGGAGAATCTGTGTATCATTCGTTCATTTGTTTTTCAAAATAAAACCAGAAATAAGAAAATGAAAGTACAACTTTTTTCTTCATTATTTGTCTCCAAAG